TTTTTTTAACTCAATTTTTTAGCCTTTAAATAGTCTTTCAAGACATATATATAAGACTGAATTATAAAATTAAATTAACGGTGATTATTTTTTTTTTAAGAAAGTTAAAAATTAAGAAATTAATGATATTATGACAGTTCATAGTAAATTTTATACTATTTTATAATTATTGACTCACGAATAAGATATAGATGATACAATTTTTTTTAGTAAATGTGAAAATGATATTATTAGTAAATATAATATAAAAATAAAAAATTTTAATTTATTTAAATATACATATATAAATTTATATATATATAATATATTTACTTATATATATATATATATTATTTTATATAAGTATTATCTTTTTGGATGTGTAATTGTAGTTTTACTGAAAATACTAAATACAGACTTGATAAAATTAAAAATTAACCAATTAAAGAAAGATAAAATTTAATAAGGGAATCTTGTTTTATAGATATTATAATTAAAGTAAAAATATATATATATTAAATGGTAATATATTTTTTAAAAAAATCAAATAAATAAAGATATTATGTGATATGTATTTAAAACATAAAATGAAAAACGAAATAATGGAAACAAGAATTGATATATTTACATTTTTTATTACTATTTTAAAGTTTTTGGAATTAATTTGTTTTGATAATTATCCTAATTCTGTATATTGCTATTAGTGGTATTATCTTTTTAAATAAATAGTTATTGATTCTACAATTTCTGAAGAGTTTAGATTCGATATTTTAATAAATTAATTATTTTAAGTATAAAATTAATTAAATTATATTATTATTTATTATAACTATAAAAAAAGACTACTTTATTGAATGTAGGATTAAAAGATGAACTAAATTAAATTGTTGCATCTGTAAATTATGAAAGTTTTAATATAAAAGCACTTAATTTAATGATTGCTTTTGTTAATTTAATTCCTATAGAGATAGAATGGAATAAGAATAAATAATTTAACTATTATTTGATGAAGAATAAAATAGGTAAATATATAAATATATATTTATATAAATTGCCTATTATATTATTATATTTACATAATTATTTTTTAAAATTACTTAATTTTATAAAAGAAAGAATTAAATTTATTTTATATATTATTAAAAATAATAATAAATATATTAAAATGTATAAAATTATTTTTAAATATTAATACAATAGAAATAAAATATTTAAAAAATTAATTGAGATAAATGGTTAGGTATGCCTTTAAATAAATTAAAATAAATTTTTTAATTTAAGAGAAATTAAACTTGAAGATGAATTACATATTACATATTTAGTAGATATGGTATAATTAATAATAGAATTATGTAAAGGAGGAATTTGGTTAGTAGAAAAGTATATATAAGATTTATTCGAATTTAATCTTTTGATTAAAGTATTTAAAAATCCTTAAATTAGAATGGATTTTAGAAGTATTTTTTTAGATTTATTTAAATAATTTTATATTTCTTAAGATTTTAAGTAATTAAATATTTTTTTTTAAATGTTTTAAATTAATTTATAAAACAAAAAAGAAATGTATATAAATATATAGATATTGATATATATTTATATATATATATATATAAATATATGATTATATTTATATATATATTTTAAATATATATTTTTAATATATATATTTATATATATAAACTTATTATAATTAGTTTTTTATTTTTTTTATTATTAATGTATGCAAAGATTAATTTAGTAGGAAACTTATGAGTATATAATAATTATAGAAAAAGATCTTATTATTAATTCTGAATATCTTAATCGAATTTAATAAATAAAGGACGATGTATATATGAAATACATAAAGGATGAATACATAAATTTAAAAGTATTTATTTAAACAATCATTTCAGAATTTACTCTACAATTAGAAAATGCGATTAATCAAAATTCTCATTTTTTTTTAATTGATGAAGAAATTTAAATAAATAATTAAAATTAAATAAAAAAATTGGTTTTATCAGTTTTAAAAATCGCTCGATTTTTATTATAGAGGAACTTTTATTCACACAAAGAAATATTATATTTAGAAAATTAATTATAAATTATGTTAAAAAAAGGCCATAATCATTTATTTTTGGAAAAGAAAAATCATAAGTAATAACCATATTTATAAGAAAATCTTGAAAATAATAATTAATAAGGAGGTCATGAATGGATGACTTAATCTTTAAAAATTTTAACTCAAATTTAAAAATATAAACTAAATTGGCATTTAATGAATTTTTATAGTAAATAAGAAGGACAATCTAATAATATTTAATAGGAATTTTATATGCAAGAAAAAAGTAATCAATAAAATAATTAATCAATTTTTATTCATCTAAAATAGAATTATAGAAAAAATAGAAACAGAAAAATTAGAAAAGTGAATCTCCTTCATTTAAAAATAATTATATAAGAAGAATTAAACATATTTAAGTTATTAAATAGATTTTTTAAGAAAAGACTCATACTTATATTAAAGAATATATGGATTGTATTGATCAAGAATTTATTTATTTTCTACATTAATTGATGAATATTGGAAGCTTTAAACTTAATTAGGAAATTATCTAATTGATATTCAATATTATAAATATGCCAATGAGTTTTTTGAGTTCTCTTAGTTAAGTTTTGGTTATTACACAAAAAGATATTTATAAATATTAAAAGTAATTTAATTTTTTATTTATATATATATATATATATATATATATATATTTATAATTTAATTATTTTATTAAGATTATTAAATATTTATTATTAATTACATTTACTTATTAACGATTATTAAATAATCAAATGTGATGATATTGAAAGTGAAGAAAATTGCATTAAAAATATGGCAACAAATGTAAAGGAATTAATCGATTAAATTTTTCATCCAAATGAAGAAAATATAGATTCTTTTTAACATAGCTACTAATAGAATTTACATTAATAAAATAAAAATTAATAAAATAATAACAATTAGTAATATTTAATTAATTTATAATAATAATAATTATCAATTTAAATAAAAAATCCATTAATAAATGAAGAATAAAAATACATAGATAATAATTTTATATCTAAAGCATTATCAAAAAGTAATATTAATATAAATGATGTTTAAAAAAATAATATTTTTCATAATGATTTTTCAGATAATTATGAATTATTAAAAAAAAAAAACCCAATTTTTAAAATAAAAACCTTTGCAAATGATAATAACGATAATAATATTTAATAAGACCAAAAACTGTTTTCTTTAAATTAAAAAAATATATAAAATTTAAAAGGGGATGAATATTCTAATATTTAGTCACCAGAATAGAGTAGTATTATTAAAGAAAATGATTATGGAAATGAAAATGTATAGGCATATGAAGAAGATTAAAACCATTAAGTTGTTAATTAATTCCCATCTCCACATAATATAGGAGAATATATTAAATAAAATAAATTTTTAGATATCGGAATTCAAACCGAAATAAATACAATTAATAATAATAAAGAAAATAATAAATTTATAATAAAAAAAAAAGATAATATAGATTAATAATAATAATAAATTACTTAATAAAATGAAGTTGTAATGTATAAATTATATAAAAATTATTAATTTGAATTAAATAATTTAATATATTAATAAAATTATCTAACTTCTTTAAATTTTATTAATAAAATAATTGATATTTTAATATTAGTTTCTTAAGTTACTGCCTTATCGAAGAATTAGGCAAAAATTTAAATAAAAAATAACCTTATTAGTGATTGTTTAGCTATTTTGATTTACTATGCTTTCAAAAATAACGAAAATTAAAATTATTTATTAAAACATAAAAAATTACTTGAGGAATAAAATGGACTTATAAAATAACTTATTTAACATTAAGATATATAAATTATTGAAATGACATTTATTTTATTAAAACATATTCATTTAGATAATTATTCGATTTTATTAGAAATTTTAGAAGATAAATAATAATAGAATTTATTTGAGAGATATTTAAAAAAGTTTTAGGAAAATTTCACAAAAAAAAGAGTTTTTTTTTTGTCTTTATTATATTTAATTTTTACCATATTTATTTACTTTATAAAATAAATAATAAGTACTTATATAAAATTAGGCTTTTATTATTAATTAATTCATAAAATATAAATTTGATATAAACTAGTTTATTTTCTATTTCGCTAATTAAGCTCTAAATATCAAAATTTAAATAAACGAATAAAAAAACGAAATTAATATTCCAATAGAGATTGCTTTTTTAATTTCTTTTTTAAGGACTTTCAGGTTATTAGCTTCTAATTGTAATTCATATGTAAATAATTATATTAGGTCATTATTTACTATCAAATAAATTTCTGATTTGATTAAGGATTTAGACTAGTGGTGGCCATTAAAAACTGAGTTTTTACTTTATTTAACTGAAGCTTATTTAAATTAAAAAAAAATAGAATATAGCGAAATGATGGAGTTATAAAATTTATTTAAAACAGTACTATAAGAGGAAATTATGTAATTTTAAGAAAATTTAGTGAAAAAAAATAAAAATAATAACTGCTTTTTCATAACTAATAATATTTAAAATTTATTTGATGAAATATAAATTGACTGTCCAATAAATTTATAAGAGTTTTATATATATGTAAAATTTAATTTAGCTTTTGAATAATATATAGTATTTGGCATATTAAGAACTTTTAGATTTTATATTTTTTAAGTATTAAATTTATATAAATATATATATATATATATATATATATATTTCTATATATATATATTTAAGTTAAATAATGAACTAAATGATTCTGAATTATTTATTATAAATTTTTATTATCAATATTGTATAGATTTAAGAGATTATTTATTAACTTTTAGAAATATAAAAAGAAGTACTAGAGAAACAACTTTAAAATTAAATATTTAATTATTTAAAAGTATAAATTATATTTACATATTTTTCTAATTATATATTTATTTTATAATAAAGAAATTACAAATGCAGATTAACAATAGTAAAAAAGTCCTTCTTTATCTTTTATGCCATAAAGAAGAATATCATAATCAAATTAAATCTTAAATACTATATAATAGGTAGATTAGATACTTGAAATGAAATAATTGAAAAGATTATAAATAAATATAATCTTATCTAAACAATAATATGATTAAAAATTTGAAGTTAATAAATAGCATTAAGTCTAAAATCAAAAAAAAGCTAACCTGTAAGATTTAGAATTAATATAGTCTTAATAATTAAATAAATTAGTTTAAATTTAAGTAAATGTTAAATTAGATAATAGTAAGTCTTTTTAAGTAATAAATTAAAAAAAATAAAATAAAGAAAATAAATATATTTTAATAAAAAAAAAATAGAAATGTTTAAAATAATATTTAATAATTTTGTAAAAAGTAAATAAATCTGATTTGTAAATAAGATTAAATGCATTAAAAGTTTTAAGAAATATATCTAATTTTAATAAGGATTTTTAAATTTATGAATCTATTTAAAACGATTTATGTGAAATTGGTTTTATGAAATTATTATGTAATGTTATTATTAATGAAGTAAATGAAAATACAAAAACAGAATTTATTATTGGATTAAATGATTTTATGAATGAATCTAATTAATAAATAAAAAGTGCTTTTTATAATTATTTAGTTTAAGACGAAAATAATTAGTTTCTTTTAACTTTATAAAACTTTCTCTTAAGCAGTTTTAAATAATTTAAAGAATGTTAAAAAACATTTTCTTAGAATTCAAAATAAATGTAATTTTAATTTATTGAATTTTTTAAAAAATAACTAATATATTTACAATCTTTAGAAAAAAATAATTTTTAAATATATTTTGTAAAATAATAATAATAAAAATAAAATTATAAAATATTTTTATATATACTGAATAATTTATTTAATTATATTTTTTAAAAAAGGGAAGAATTAAAACCTTGGATAGATATTATTCAACCTAATTTTAATATATTAAATAATTAAATTAAATATAATAATTAATTTTAAGAATATATAAAACAAAAAGTTAAAAAATCTTTTTAAGTATTAGAATTAATAAAATTAAGTTGCAAATAAAACTATATAGAAATGTAAAATTTTTATAGAAATTAAGTTAATTTAGATGGTTGTATAAAAAAACAAAGCATAAATTTTATAATACTAATTTCCGATATTTTTTCAAAATACCATAAATAAATAAATGAGGAAAATCTTCATTTTGGTAAATAAATAATAGAAACTTTAATTCAAATGATTATAGGACCATGTAAAGAAAATTAAAAGATATTAGCTTAATCAAAAGTATAATTAAATATATTCTTATTATAAATAAATATATATATATATATATATATATATTTATTTATATTTATTTATATATTTATAAATTCTTTTTTATATAGATATTTGAAAATATATAAGATATAATGAATGAACTTTTCGAAAAAGATATTATTAAATTAGAATATTAAGGCGATTTTATAGAATTTAATAATAAAATTTTATTTTTAATTTATTTATTGTTTGAAGGGAATTAAGATTAATAAGTAATATAAAAATTATGTAAATTAATTAATCCTAGATTGTTTTATAATTAAATTATTAAACACTATAAAAATTATTCATAGATATAAGGTCTACTAAAAAATAAACATAAAGGTATACTAAAAAAAATTATTTTTTTATGAAATATAAATAATAGGATTATATTTATGTTCAATTAATTTTTTTTCAAATAAATAAAAAAAAAATGAATTTCTATCTACTTTAAATATAGAATAATTAGATAAATTTATTATGGATAATGAAAAGTATTTATCGAAAAAATATAAATTTATTGAATCTTGGCTTTATTAATTAAAAAGTTAATAATTATTAAGTTTATGTAATAAAAACTACATAATAATATAATATTTATCATTTGTAAATAATACTTTTAAAAAAATGTGTAAAGAAATAATTGAATAATAAGATGAATAATTAAAAAAAAATATAATATAAATAAAATAATAAATAGTTTCTATAGAAATAATTAATTAATAAAATTTAGTTTAAAAAATTTATTTTCCGAAAGATCCGTTGACATAATATTTATCAAAAACTACAAAAGTAAATAGAAAAAAAAAAATATAATAAACTATATATATATATATATATATATATATATATATACACATTTTTTTTTATATTATTTTTTATATAAATATATTATATAAAACTTTAATATATTTAGGAAAGATTTCTCGAAAATGCAATAATTAATTCTGCAAATGATAAGATAAAATTTTTATTGTCATTTAATTAAATATTTTAGGATGAAATGAAGCATTTTTTAAAATTAAGGGCTATAGGCATATATTTTCATTTATCTATTATTAAAAATGCTAAGAACTTAAATTTATTTTTAATTTTTATTATAAATTTGTTTTTGTTTTTTGATTAATATGATGATAATTTTATTTGCATTTTTATTACTTATTTACAAATTCTAAGTACATTTTTAATTTTATTTTTTTGGATGATTTTAAAATTTCCTTTAGAGTATTTTTTATCTATTTTTCTTTTTAATATTTTTTTTTTTTTTTTTAGATATACAGAAATTTAAAGAAAATATTAGAGTAGAATAAAGAAAAATAAATATTAGAATATATTTAGGATATATAATTTTTTTAAATCAAGTCATATTTTATATTTGATAATAAATATTTTAGTATCAGTAATAGGATTATGTTTTAGTAAAATTTTCTATACTTTTCTACTTTTAGATATTATAGATAGATCTCCTGTATTAAAAAATATAATAAAACCAGTAACTATAAATGCGAAATAATTATTACTTTCAGTTATAATTGGATGCACATTTCTATATATTTATTCAGCTTTAGGCTATTATTCAGATATAAAAAAAACACTTATATATACAAATAATTAAAATTACGAAATATGTTCTACACCTTGGGATTGTTTTACTTTTATATTAGGATAAGCATTAAGATAAGGTATTAAATTATTTATAAAACATATAAATAGAAAAAAAATATTAAATAAAATATAAAAATAATTAAAAAAAATAAAAATAAAATATTAAAATATATATTAATATTTATATAGAAAAAGATATAAATGTAAATATATATATATTTATATAAAAAAATATATAAATATAGATATATAAATATATAAAATATAAAATATATATATATAATATAAATATATAAATATATATTTATATATATTTTTATATATTTATATTTATGCATAGGAGGAGGTATAGGAGATTTAATATAAATGCCTGATCCAATTAATCATTCATAATATTATTATAGATTTATATATGATTTAACATTTTATTTAATTATAAATGTGATTTGGTTAAATATTATATTTGGTATTATTATTGATGCTTTTGCTGAATTAAGAGATGCTAAAAATGCAAAAGGTTAATTTTATTTTTTTTATTTTATTTTTTTATTATTTTATAATACATTATATTAATATTTTTTTCCAGATTTTGATCAATAAAATAAATGTTTTATATGCAATTTAGAAAGAGATGTATTTGAAAACTAAGGACTAAATTTTAAAAAACATAGAAAAAAAGAACATAATATTTGGAATTACATATATTATATTGTATACTTACAATAAAAAGATAAAAATTCTTTTAATGGAACTGATTATTATATTTAAAATAAGTTAAAAAACGATGATATTACATGGTATCCAATAGGAAGAGCTATTTAAATTGAATGTTTAAAGGACGAAAGTAAATAATAAAATATAGAATAGAATTTATATAATGCTATTATTAAACTATAAGATTAATTAAATCAATAAAAATAAATATAAAATGAATGATATAAAAATATTATAAAAAATAAAAAAATAATTAATATATAATATAAATAGATATATATGTAAATTTATATATAAATATAAAAAAAAATTATATATATTTAAATATATATATATATATTAAATATATATTTTATTTATATTATATATATTTTATTTTTATAATAATATATATTTTTATATTATATTTATTTAATAAATTTTCTTATTTTTCATTTTTTTATTTTAGTTTAAATTTATTTTATTTTATTTTTATATAAATCTTTTTAAAAAAAAAAATATAAAATTAAAATTTTTATTATTTAAATTAATATTATATAAAAATTTATTTGTTTTTATATTTTCTAAATAAAATGATAAATTTAATTTATTATATGTTATTTATATCTGGATTCATTTTTTTTTATCTCAATACTACTTTAAGATAATTTTTTTTAACAATATACAATAATAAATATAAAAATAATTTTAAATATGTAAAATTAAATATAGATTTTCATTAACATATCTATTAATATAAAAAATATCTTCTTTATATAATTTTTTTTTAATAAATTAATAAATAAATTATATTAATATAATTTATTACATATATTTAAAAATTTAATAATACAAATTTTTAAATATAATAAATTAGCATCATTAATAAATTAATATTTTATATTACCTATTTTTTTTTATTAATAAAAATAAAATGCTTAGAAGAAATTTTAGTGAAATTAAAATTTACTAAATTTAAAATGATTACTGGATTTAAAGACTAAATAATTGAAAAAATAAAAATTATATATTAAATATAAATTATATATAAATATTAAACAATACATATAATATTAATTTGTATAAAATAATTATTTATAATTTATTTTTTAATGTTTTATTAAAATCAAAAATTATTAAATATTTCTTTAAAATATTGCATAGTATTTAAATTATTTTTTATTCTTGATAATGAATAAGAATTATATAAAAAAGTTTAATAATATTTATAAGCCTAAATACTTTAATAATATTTAGAAGAACTGAATGAAATGCTAAAATTATAAAAATGTAAATAATTTTTAAAATTGACAGTATTTGTATTTATTAAATGTGATCTAGATTATCAAGATAAATATATGACAAGGTTTATAGAAATTAGTTTTAATTTGAAAAAATAGATAAAATAAAAATAAATTTTAAAAATTATTAAATTTATATATTTTATAAATATAAAATTGATATTTTATATATATATATAAATTTAAATTTATTTATAAATTTTAAAATTTGTCCTTACAATTTTATTACATTTTTTAAATAATTTATTAATATTTTGTTATTTTTTATTGACTATATTTTATTATACTTTACAGAATTTTTTTTTTTTAACCTTCTTAATTTTTCTTCAAATCAATTATTTTAATAATAAAAGTTACTTAAATACTTATTTTCTTATAAATATACCAAAATTTACACTTTTTATACTTATTCTATATTGGAGTTTTTCGAAAAGCCTACCATGTAAACTTTTTTATTTCTAATCTTTTTTAGATTAGCTAATTAAAACATTTTTTAATATAATTTTATGAAATTAGTTATATCTCATTAATCACATTTATACTTTAAAAGTTAATCACATATAATATAATTAGATAGTAATATATTATAATTACTCAAGTCTTTATTTTTTATATTTTTGTAATAAAAATACAAAATTGAATTTCTTGCATATTAATTTTTTCATTTTTTTTTTATAAAATAAAATCATTATATTTATTTAAATTTTTCATTTTTTTTAATATTATTTTTCTTTCGAAATTTCTCATAATTTAATTTTACTGAAATCTAACCTGAAAATGTGTTAAAATACAATGAAAAATCACTCTAAAATATATATACTTTCCATTATTCTTAGAAGTCAACAATTTTTTTCCTATTTATAATAAAAAATTTTCCTTTCTCTTATAATAATTCATGCTTATTTTGATAATAATCATATTCTGAGACGAAAATTACTGTTTCTTCAGTTAGAAAGAGTTTCGGATTTGGGTATTTTTGAAAAAAAAATATTTAAACTTATTAAAAAATAAATTTATATATTTGTAGAATTTTTTTAAAAAAATATTAAGTACAATTTTCAAAGCCTCTGTTTTTGTTTTTTGTCCAAACTTAGTCAAAAAAAACAACTTAGTAAAATTATTTTTAATCCTCTTTTATATTTTTAAATTAAACCCTATTTATTTTTACTTTTTCTCCTTTAATCATAAAATGCGAATTTCTCAAAAGCCAAATTTTCGACTTTAATCGGATAAAATTTCCATTAAAATATTATAAATAATAATAAAATAAAATATTCAATTATAAAAATAAGGAAGTTTTTATTTCAATGGCATACAAATATAAAGCATAATCCCTCCTCCTAACACATTAACAATTTAATATCTGCTACTTTCGTCAATAAAAAATATACCTAATATTTAGTTTAATAATACTGGATAGAGAAAATCTTTTTAAACAATATAATTAATAAACTAACTAATCATATAGTTGACTTATCAAATTTAAATTAATTAAACTTATATATCTGCCTCAAACTTCTAAAGATTTTTTTTTTGTTAGAAGAGATGATCTAAAATGTTCAAAAAAGAAAATTAAATATTATTATTTTTTGACCAATTTTTTATATAATAAATTATTTGAAAATTAGCCACTTATTAATGATAATAAACATAAAATTAAAAATAAAAATAATTAGACTTTATTGAATTCCATTTTCAATTATTATTAATTTTTAAAATATAGGAACTAGTAAAAATAAATACATTATGTGAATAAATTAAGTAATTGTAATTATATAAGTAAATTTTTACTTTATTTATGCTATTTCGATAAAACATAATAAATAAAGATTTATATAATACAATTTTTTTTAATTTATATAAGGAATAAGAGAATGAGAATATTTATGGTTTAGCCTTAAGGAGTAGTTGTTATAATTTTTAAATTTAGAAAATTAATATTGATTATATTAATATTTTTATGATTTTGAAGGTTGAGATACTTATGAAAAATATAAAATTTTTAAGTATTATTTTAAAATAATACATTTATTTTAAAAATTACCATAATTTTTTAATTATTATATTAACAATATTTAATATTTTTTAATTATATGTTTAATATTTTATGTATAATGAATTTTAAAAAAATATTTATACTTTATTTATATAAATTAATAATATATTATATAAAAAATTTTTTCTAAAATGATTTTAAATTATATTTTAAAATTATTATTAGAAAATCATCTTTTAATAAAAAGCATTATAATTGTTATACTTCTTATTAAAACATATACATATATTTTTAATAAAATTAAGTCTTTTTCTTTAAAAAAATATTTATTGTGTATAATTAAATAATAATGTGTTAATTAGTATTATTTTTAAAATAATATAATTTTTTATTTTTATATCTTTTTAATATGCAATAATAATTTTTGATAAATATATATTTATTATTATAAATTTTTTATAATAATGAATATTTTTCTTCAAATTTTATAAATAATAGTTATATTTGCATAATATTATAAATAATATTTTGTTTATTATTTGTATTTAAAATTATATTATTTTAAATTAAAAATTAAAATTATATTTTATTTTTTAAGTATGTAAAAATAATTTTATAAAATAGAAAGTAATTTATAATATATTTTATATAAAATACATTTTATTTGTAAAATGATATAATAAAATATTTAAGTAATTATTTGAAGAAAAAAATAAATATATAAATTAATAAAATGTCAAAGGTATAAAAATAATATTAATATTATTTATTATTTAATTATTTGTTATTTAGTGGATACTTCTTATTATTTTTTATATCTATATTAGGTTTATAGTCAAGTATTTTATTATATATAATAAATATATTTGAAAATATACATAATCTTATTAAACTTTTAACAAAAAATAAGAAAAACTATTTGTTGAAATGAATTATTTAAAAAAAAAATAAAAAAGTGCGTAAAATCATATTTAATTTATTATTGGTATTTACAAATATTATCTTAGGTAAAAACAATTTTTATTTTAAAATCATATAAATAATTATATTATTTAAAAAAGGATGTAAAATAGTTTTCATGAATTTAATCTTATATTTTAATTTATAGTGTGTAATAAAAAAAAAAAATTTTTTAAAAAATATATATATAAAAAATAGCAAGTAAATTTTATTCGTATATAATTTAAATATAATTAATTCGATAGTATGTAAATAAAAATTAGAATTTTATTTTATGAAAATAAAAAAATAAATTTAAAAATTAAAGGGAGTATAATTTATATATTATAAAAATTTAATATATATATATTTTTTAAAAAAGGATGTAATAATTTTTAAAAATTTAAATCTATAAAATAAAAAGATAGTAAATATAATTAAGAAATATAAAAATATAATTTTTTTTAATTAGTGTGTAAATATATAGTTAAAATAAAAACAAATAAATCCTTTATAGTTAGTATAAATAATAAAAAAAATAAAAAAATAATTAAATAAAAGCTGGTATAATAAAAATCATTATTAAAAATATATATGAAAAATAAAAAAAATTAGTGTGTAAAATAATCACAAAATTTAATATATTTATACAATTATATATATTTATTTATAAATAGGTAAAAAATAATATTTAATAATTAACATAAAATAATTTTTATAGAGAGTATTTATAAATAAATAATAATAAAAAATTATTTAAACAAAAAATATTTATATTTACAAAGTAAAAATAGTATTAATTTAAAATAAATACTAAAAAATAATAAAAGTGTGTAAAAAATAAAAGAAATTTTAAAATAAAAGCGAAAAATAGGAAGTATAATAATATTTTTTTATTTTAATAATAAATATTAT